TCAAAAGATGCCTCCACCCCACCCTGACCGGTGTGGCTCAGTTGGTTGGGCGTCATCCCGCAAAGCTGGAGTTTGCAAGTTCAACTCCTGGTCAGGGCACATGCCTGGGGTGCATGTCCCTGGTTGGGGTCCATGCAGGAGGCAGCTGATCAATGTTTCTCTCTCTCTTTCTACCTCCCTTCCCCCACCTCTCTCTCAAACACACACACCCATTTTTTCACTCACTTGTGAAGGAAAAGGCTCCAGTGTCATCCCCAGGCCAATATCCATCTCACCACCATGTTTAGCATCTTCTCTTGTACACAATTTACTTTCCCCCGTAGGCATTCCCAGCTTCCTCTCCCTCTATCCATTCATCCAACAGGTATTCACTGAGTATCTTTTCTGCCTCGAACATCTGTGAACAACCGTTTCCTCAGGTGCATTACTCTTTTAGATCCAATCTTCTCCCTCCCGCCCCATTTGTCTCCCAACCACATGGTGCTTCTGACTGTTCCCTCACTATCACCCCCAAAGTCCCCAGTTGAGCCCTAGCTCTTGCAAGAAATAGCTGCGTAACCTAGAAAGGTCACTTACCAACCCTAGATCTCATTGTTCTCATTTCAGTGATTAGAGATTACCAAATCTAGTGTTCCATCTGGCTTTCTGTGCTTTGGCCCTCATCCAGTTGCCAAAAAATTCCTCTTTACAAAATCACTCATGACCTCTTAGTTATCAATCCAAAACACCAAAGGTCTAATTCCAGAGATGCTGACCCTGATTACCTGTGTGATTTTAGCCATTTATTTCACCTCTTTAAACCTCTATTGTTCTCATCTATAAAATGTGGTGGTTGCATTGAATGACCTTGCAAGACTCTTCAGGTCTTTCATTCCATGAGAACATAGATGCAGAGAAGAAAGAGAGAGATCCTTTTTGGAGAGTGGACAGGTAAGAATTCCTGGAGAAAATGGCATCCGTAGAAATTTGGAAGAAAAGCAGGGAAAGGGACTATAGTAAGAATCATCTTCTAAGGCCTGGCTGGTGTAGCTCAATGGATTGAGTACATGCCTGTGAACCAAAGAGTTGCTGGTTCAATTCCCAGTCAGGGCACATGCTTGGGTTGCAGGCCAAGTCCCCAGTAGGGAGTGTGCAAGGGGCAACCACACACTGATGTTTCTCCCCCTCTCTTTCTCCTTCCCTTCCCCTCTCTATAACATTCTTTAAAAAAAAAAAGAAAGAAAAGAAAGAATCATCCTCCACTAATCTGTATAATGGATTCGGCTTGAGACAAACCGACTAATGAGATACAAAGGAAATATACAACTGATCTGATCCAGCCTCTCGATATGAAAGTACTGATTTACTGAAGATAGAGGAGACAGGCTGAGAATGTTTAAAATCTCTTGCGTCTCTTGACACCTCAAGAGATGCAGTCAGAAAAATTCAGAATCTGGGAAAAGCTACAGCTTTACTTCTCCAAAGTGTGATCCATCACACATGCAGCATCAGTATTACCAGGAAGCAGGTAGAAATGCAGAGTCTCAGGCCCTGCCTGAGGACTCCTGAATGTGCATTTTAATAATCCTGCACTGAGTCATGCACAAATACAAGTCTGAGAAGCACTGTGTACAGGCCCAATGACCCATTTCCTTCAATACATGTTAAAAAACAAGGTAATAAAGTACGAGGAGCTTATAGATAAAAGAAACTAAAAGACAATCAGCCAAATTTGATCTGTATATCTTGCAGACAAACCAATTATTTTTTTAAATGAGACTATAGAGGAAATTTGAACAATTACTGGATATTTATTGATATTAATGAATTATTGTTACTTTTTGAAGAGTAATCATCGTGTTGGGGTAATTCTTTTTTTAAAGAGTCTTATTTGAAGACACATACAGAAGTATTTATAGATTAAATGCTAGAGTATCAGGGTTTTGCTAAAAAATAGTTCAGTATGGAGGTGGGGAAACAAACTGGGGAGAAGTTAAAACAAGATTAGCTGTAAACTGCCAATTGCTGAGGCTGAGATTTTGAGTACGTGGGATTTATCATTCTCTCTACTTCCCTCTATATTTGGAAATACCCATAATAAAAAGACGAAGAGAAAGACCAAGAAAGAGTCATCAAAGATGGGAGGGGCAAATCAATAAAACGCAGTGGCAGGAAACCTAAGAAAGAAAATGCCAAGCGGAAAGGGGGCAAGGACCCCCAAGAGCCATTGAAGCCTGGGCGGGGGAGGGGATCATTCCGGCGAGCAGACGAAGCCCAAGGGCAGGAGTGTGTAAAAAAACAGCCTGCGCTCTAAACCAGAGAAAATCCCCGTAACTGTGGCACCGTGAATCAGGTTAGAAGAAGGGAGAATTTCCTAGTTGCTAAAAACTGAAACAGGTCATCAAATAAATTATGGGATCTCCTTCTCTGAGGACCTTCAGAAATAGGCTCCTCAGGACTGAAATGGAGGCGGCCTTGCTCTGGGGAGAGCAGGTTCACATCCGCAGGCTTTTCAGGTCACCGCGGCGGGCGGACGCAGGGTGGGGCGAGGGTAGCGCGGAGAGAAGGGAGGAGGGTGGAAAAGCCCACAGCCCGGGCAGGGAAGCGGCAATGCCCTCCCTCCCTCACCTCCTCTGCTCTAGGTCCCACTCAGGGCGCAGAGGACCTTGGCGGATCCTAGTTCTGCCCACAATTATGAGGATTTTAGGGATTCGAGATAGGGGGAGGGGAGATGAATTGGGAGCAAGAGGATGAATACGAATTCGAGGACATTTCATTTGCACATAACTGCGCCTTGACTTCATAACCCAGTCTCTGGTTACCTGTACACTGGCCCTCCACCAAACAAACAAACCATCCCAGGCTCAGAAAGAAACCAGAACTCTGGGTATCTTCTGATCAAGGATAACCAGCAGTGAACGTGGCTGACAGCTGGGGGCCGGCGCGCTGGGGCTGGGAAGAGGCGGGCGCAGGAGGCTCCTGGCCGGGGCTCTGGCAGATTCCTGAACCGCTTCCAAGGGGGTAGGAGCGGACTGGCCTTGATGCACTCCACCCCACTCTGTGCCTGCAGCGCTGCCTCGGACTCCGAGGCCCGAGGGCCGGCACCTCGCCGCCCACGTACACTGGGAGTATGGTCGCAGGCTTGCCTGTCTCACTACCCAGAACAAGAGCTTTCTGTTTCAGCGCAGAACTGGTCTATAAATACCTGAGTTCCACTGCAGCCGCAGCCTCGAGGGCAGCCGGCTAGCTCAGTCTCAAATTAGGGATGGCTAATCGAGCGCGTAGGGACCACCGCCCTCCTTGAGCTTTCCCCAGAAACCCCCTGAGTCCAAGCAACCGCAGGGGACCGGGTGACGTCATGGGATTGTTGGAGGATTTAGCTCAGAAACCCGCCGGGGAGCGGCCCAGGGCCTGTGATCCATTTAAGCCGACAGAATACCACTGATGGCTCCACTTTCCCAAATCTGGTGCATCACCTTTCCACCTTTCCTGAGACCTAAGAAGGCCTGAGGTTCTGGGAAATCATTGTGTGATGGCCAGTTCAAGAACCCTGAGGAACAGACATGCACGGATGGGCTGGCAAGGCCCTGGCTAGCATGGGTCTGGCCAAGGGACCGTTAGAAGGCTTCCAGCAAGGTCTCAGGTAGTAGGAGAACGATTTGAGTCTTAGTAACTAACTTGCAAGATTATTATGAAGGTAATGAATGGGATGTATATAAAAGCTCACCTGGCAGATGACAATGCTTAATACACATGCACAGTGATGATGATGATTTCATCTTGTATCTGGTGAGCTGTCCCATGGAGGAGGAACAAGGTCATTCTGTCTGGCTTCAGAAAGGAGAATAGGACTAATGGGTTGAGGCAGTAAGAAAGAGCATCTGGCTCAACTTAAAAAAAACTTTCAAAAGTCAGAATTCCCCAATGAAGAAGTAAGTTCCTAGTTACCAGAGAAGCACACTCTATTCCATTTTGTAATTGGTAAAACAAGTCATGAGGACAAGATACCATAAATTAAGAGCATCAGAGAAATCAGAAAGTAAGCCAACGTGAATGACAACAAGCCCAACATTTCTATTCCTTCTCTGTGAGAAATCTCTAGAAGCCTGGATTTGTAGATAACCTTGAAGACCATGGATTTTGGCTGCATGCTTTCGATTTTTCCTGACTCAGTAAGCAAGATGAAGAGCTTGAGTTTTATAGTGAAATTCCAAACTTAGACCCTCTGGTGTTATTTTTCAGCTGTGTAATCTTAGCTCACCTTGCTGGGTCCAGTTTTTTCTTCTGTAAATGAAGTAAACTACCTACAAATCTGACAAACAGGATCAGTGCTAATGTATTCCTTGCTGCACTGATAAACATTATGGCAGAGAGGTCTGAATTTATTGATAAATGAGACAGGCAAATTCAAGCTTTCTGGCCTTTTGTCCTTGGCAGGGGATGTGGGTGGTGGAGACTGGGCAAACAAACGGTGCCACCTCAGCAAGCACACGTGCCAAGATTGCACTTAGGATGCAGATGCGGAGACAGGCACCTTCTGAAAGCCTTCCAACCCTTCAAGTCTTCTGCTTTCACAGGAGGGATAAGAGGTGGTAAATGAAACTTTCCTGTCACTGTTGAGAAACTAGCGTGTTAGGTTGTGGACTCAGTGTCCTATCCAAATCTTTACAATGTTTAGGAAGGGTCAGAGTTGATGATAAAGAGGCTGGACTGCAGAACAATTTTTCAGTTGTCTTGTGAGCCATCCCCAAAGCCCTTTTAAACCTATAGACCTTCTGGTCTCTGGAGCCTTGTGCCATCTACCCCAGACATGACCAAGACATGACTCCCCCATCCCACTGCAGTGGCCATAGCACTAGGCCTGAGCAACTCTGCCTGAGATTTGGCTTCTGACAGAAGCAGGCTGGTGGCTGAGGGCCCATCACATCCTTCATGAGAGCCTCCACCATCCACCACACACACAGAACCTTGTATTGGGATGTACTGATACTAACAGATGGTCTTTTCTCTCTGTCCCTCAGTGTGATGGGGTTGGGGTGGACCTGAGCAACATCTTCCTTGAAGGCATCGCCATTCTCAACATTCCCAGCATGTACGGTGGCACCAATCTCTGGGGAGAAACCAAAAAGAACCGAGCTATGATCCGGGAGAGCAGGAAGGTTGTCACTGACCCTAAGGAACTGAAATTCTGCGTCCAAGGTAAGTCAGGCATGAGGAATATGGCTCTAGGTCAGTGCCCTGATAAAAGGGTCTTCAGGTGGGTGGTATTCAAGTTCTGCAGATACACTGACTCATCATTCCTGATGTTGCAAAGTTTCCAACCTAACTGGGAAGAAAAAATGAATAATAAGGGAACTCTTAATGACAGTCAGTAGGCAAGCTGTGGGACTCCATGAGGTCAGGAGTCAAACACTGCTCCTGCCCAGGTTACTACTGCCTTCCGATAACTCTTTCCAGTAGTCAGTTCTCAACCTTCACCTCACTTCACCTGTCAGTGGTATTTGACCCAGCTGATCACTCCCTCTTCCTGAAAATACTTCGCTTCTGGGACTCCACACGTTCCTGGTTTTCCTCCTCCCCCACTGGTTACTCTTTCTCAGTCTCTTTTGCTGATTCCTCATCTTCTCTCTAACCTTTTGATGCTGGTGGGTCCTCAGGCAAGGTCACCAACCCTCTTTTCTTTTCTGTCTATACTCACTCCCTCCTTGATGACCTCATCCAGTGGTGAGACTTTATTTAAATACCACGTGAGTGCCAGTGACTCAGCACGTCCAAAACTATCCCTCCCACAAACTGTCTCCACCCACAGCCTTCCCCAGCTCAGTGGATGATAGCTCCAACCTGCCTGTTGCTGGAGCCAAAATACTTGGCATCATCCTTGACTCCTCTTTTTATCCCACATCTCATATCCAATTTATCAGAAAATCTGTTAACTTTACCTTTAAAAGTAACGGGTGCACCCACTTCTCACTGCATTCCTACCACCTTTGTCAAGCCACCATCCTCTGTCCCTTGGATTACTGCAAATCCTCCTAACTGAATGTCCTGTGTATACCCCTGCCCTGTGCAGCCTGTCCCACCACTGCATCAGAGTACCCCTGCCAAAAGGTGCCAGATGATGCCATGTTCCTGCTCCAAATCCTGCAGTGGCTCGGAGTAAAAGCCAAAGACCTTCATGTGACCTGGAGGGTCCAGATGGTCTGGCCTCCCATTACTTTTGAGACTTCATCTTCTGCTATTCTCCCCCTTACTCCCTCTGGCTTCTCTAGCACCACAGGCTGCATCCATGAACTGACTATTCTTTCTGCCTGGAACAAGCGGTTAGTGTGGCTTGGTAGCATCAGCTGTGCCTTCCCCTCTAAAAGTACCCTTAAACCTACCTTTACCTCTACCCCTTACCAGCTATGTCCACCAATGAACCAAGTGGGGACTCAAACAGAGTTTTTGGCAGCTCCAGCTGCTCTGTGGATTGGAGGAAAGGGTGCCACTGATCCTCAGGGGTTCTCAGTAGACTGGTGAGCCGGGGGAGAGAATCCATGTGTGAAGGCATTTGCAAAGACATCACAAGAGGAGGAGGAGACTTGGTTAGAGTCCAAGTGCTGCTACTAACCTACTTTTTGACATCTCAGTTTCCTCTGCTGTAAACCCAGTATCATATGTAAAGTTTTGATAGGTGAATGGATGGGGTTGAACCAGATCATTGGTTCTTAAACCAGGCTTCCTCGTTGTAAATGAAGATTCCTAGGCCCTAGCCCAGATCTACCTAATTAATCTCTGGGTTGGTTCCTGGTAATGAGCTCCCCAGATGACTCTGATGAATTGTGAGGTTTATTTGAGAACCACAGACATAGACAAGTGTCCATGAATCTAGGTCTCTCCCAGGCTATCAGTGCTGAGACTGGATGTGATCCCACCAGTAAAAGGAGACAAAACTTGGCTGACCATTTATATAGGGAAGGGTTATTTGCTTGTTTTGAACCCATCTATTAAGACAACCAGATTGTCATATTCCAGGTTAAGTCATTGAGAAGTATCATCTTGACAACTCCACCCTTTAAGAGAGGACTCAGAAATTTTTATTTCTGTTGACCTCTTAAGTCCCCTTTATTTCACAGTAAACTTTTCAATTTGTATAAATTATTAAACTGAATAATGTGTTCCTTCTTCCACCCTTGGCAGGGGAAGTTGCGGGTGCCAGCAGAGGGTGGGGGAAGCACTGGAAATTGTAGAAAGTTCCTGAAAACTTTTCCCACCCTGATGCTCCTACCTCAACCCTTACTCTGACATCCAGTCCCATCAGAACAGAATCAGGGGAGACTCTTCCCCTCCCCCAACTCAGGGGCTTGGGAAAGCTCTTGCTGAGGACCTGTTCGGGTTCGGACACAAGGACAACCTACATCTTCCCCTTCCATATCTGACCGTATTTCTTCCCCTTCAAGCAAGAGCAGTGTGTCTGCTGATCACTCTTGATCATCATATACAGGAACTCTCTATACAGGAACTCTCTTCCCCAGATCCCCCTCTCTCAGCCCCAGAATGTGCTTTCAGAGCTAAAAATGAAGCTACTTCCTGTTCTTTGGAGGAGGACATGAGCTGATCAAAGCACCAGCTGAGAAAGGCGCCCTGGCTTCTGGGCTTTGCAGAGACACTAACACTGAGTTTCTTTTTGAAAAAGCCACGATCTTATATAAGTTGAGATAGTGGAGAAAAGCTGAAGAGACAACTTTAGTAGGAAAGCATCATCTTGGGAGTCAAGAAACTTGGATTGCGGTTCATACTGCCTCTCGCTAGTGTGTGACATTGGGCAAGTCCTTTCACCTTCTTGGATTTTAATTTTCATTATCTATAAAATAGGTGAGGCTAACAATCATATAAATTTCTATAGATCATGGGTTCTTCATGGCTCCACAAAACTAAGGCATGGACAAGTTTGGTATAGGTGGACTCCTTGGACATAATTGTATGGCCAGTTTCTTCCTTCTTTCAGTGTGTTTTGTCCCACAGTTTATAGGCCAGCAGCTGAGAAGGCAAGGGTCTCTCTCTGTAGCCTCTTCATTTGTTGGGATTCTTTACTCCTTGGCAATTTCACTGGGATTGGAGGTGAGGGAGGAGTCAGCAGAGAGTAGTAGGAGGGAAGGAATATATCATAGGGAGTATAAGAGGAAAATGACAATAGAAGGAGTTAGTATCAAATCTTTCTTATAAATCTGTCTTTGCCCTTAGAAAAGCAATCCAAGAAAGATCATGGGTCAGGATTAGCATGGAATGAATTCTGTAAGAAATTAACTGATTATACCCTGGCTGGTGTGGCTCAGTGGGTTGAGCACTGGCCAGCAAACCAAGAGGTCACCGGTTCCATTCCCAGTCAGGACACTGGCCTGGGTAGTGGGCCAGGTCCCCAGTAGAGAGTGTGCGAGAGGCAAAACCACACATTGGTGTTTCTCTCCCTTTCTTTCCCTCTCCCTCCCCCTCTGTCTAAAAATAAAATAAGTAAAATATTTTAAAAATAAATTAGAAAGCAATAAAGGGAACTGGGAAAAGCACGAAGCAGTTAAATGACTAGGGTTTACATTTATACTTTAGTTTTCTAAACCTTAGGAAGTGACCTCACCTCCCTGAGTCTTAGCTTCCTCATCTCTGAAAAGGGCATAATACCACCTAGCTTTTTATGAAGATCATGGATATGAAAGTGCCTGGAGCATAATTTAAGCTCAAAACTTTAAAAAAATTCCCCTTACCTTTAATCCCATTTCATGCTGGAGCATACCAGTTGAATTCCTGATTTTGACGTTTTTATCTCTGGCATCTCTATCTGCTTGCACCATCACCAGGAAAGAGCAGAACTCACACCAGACTGCAGACCAGCCTTTGCCCCAGCACATTAAACTCATGCCATCAATTGTACTATACCCAGGGTCTCCTTTCCCAGACCTTTCAGATTCCAAGAATGGAAGTGGACATATTCCCAGTGCCTGACCCAGTGTAGTTAGTCAAAAAAAGGTTGTTGGATAAATGAGACATACGTAGATATTCGTTCTTTTCAATTTTTGTAACACCAATAAGAATAGTGACAGATAGTCTCTTATATTTCATTTTGGCTCATAAATAGTTTGCATATATTAGCTTCAAATAATTCTAAGCAGAAACCCATGAGCAAGGTATTCCCACTCCCATCCATATTTTTATCTCATACTGGGGAAAAACAGAGGTCCACGGGAGGGGTGTGGCTTATATAATTTATGTCCAGTGGTGGCCTCACATCCAACGTCATGGTTTCTAGCCTAGCCCTAAGCGGCTAGTACCCAACCAGAAAATGTATTTGAGGTCCTACTGTGTGTATTTCAAAAGCCAGGGCCCTAAAAAATGGGAAGAATTTATGACCCAGCATGGGAAAGTCCCCGCACACACATGTTGAAATTCTGCTCCTCCTGTGGGGCCAACCCTAAGGGCCTGTCCTTCCTGGGGCCCATAGAAGTCAGTCCAGCTCTGAACTCCTGGAGCATTTAGCTTTACCTTCTGTCTTGACAGTGCACTGATGATGGGTTGCCCTGGTCCATAGACATGTGCATCCTCGTCATATCTACTGCCAGTGCCTGGAAAATGAGGAACATGTGTTCATGTTCATGTTCCCTTGAAAGCCTAACACTCTACTTGGCTCACACTGTCCTACAGCAATGTTTGTTGGAGGGGAGTGGGGAGGGAGATCGAATCTTGCCTTTGTCTGCCCACACAGTGGGCGGTGAATTCTGGAGCAGGACAGGAACAGACACTTAGTGAAAGATCTTGGGGGGAAAATAGTCTCATAAAGAGTTATATGTGAGTGTTAGTGAGGCTGCAAATTCTGCTTCATAGAACCATGACAAATTCATTTGATAAGTAAGAGATGTCCTGGCTATATAAGTAATTCAGCTGTAACTTAGAGGACTTGTCCTTGAGAGTCATTATAGAGTAAGGGATTGAATATTGAACTAAAAGCTAGAAGACCCAGACCTTCCCACCACCAGCCATGTGACAGTTGGTTGAGTCACTGAACCCCTGTTACAAAATGGGAACAATGATAGTCTCTCTCCCTCAGCTCGTTTGAGGGTTAAATGAGATTATCCATGTAGGGCACTTAGCAGAGTACCTGAAACGTGGTGAGCTCTTGATTAATAGTACTCAGAATTATCATTAAGTGATAAGTGAAAGATGATAAGTAC